CAACTCTATAGCCATGGATAACATTCCAAGAATCTCTTCTTTTCTCTCCAGAGCTTTAATCTTCCTTACACTCTGCATCACTCTCTTCACGAGCCCTTCTCTCTCATACACAAACCCTAGCCCTTTACTAGACTTCTGCGTTGCTGATCTCCGAGCTTCACCAATATCCAACAATGCCTTCCCTTGCAAGTCACAAGTCTCCTCTGAAGACTTCTTCTTCTCCGGCTTGAACACTCCATTTAACACTTCCAACCCGAGAGGTCTAGCCGCTAATGTAGCAAATGTCGTGACGTTTCCAGGGCTAAACAAGATGGGAATATCCATGTACAACGTGGCAGTCGCGGCTGGAGCAGCTAATTCGCCTCACTCGCACCCTGGTTACACCGAGGCAGGATTCATTCTCGAAGGCTCGGTCTCGATTGGGTTCTTGACGACTAACTACACCTTGTACTCCAAGGTTGGACAAGGTGATATGTTCGTGGTTCCTCCAGGACTCATTCACTACGAGTGGAACGTTGGGAAAACCGAAGCGCGGTTTTTGGCCGTGGTTACTAATGAGTTGCCTAGCGAGGTTGTTGTACCGAACACTCTGTTTGTTGCGAAACCCGCGATTCCAGACGCGGTTTTGATGAAGGCGTTCAAGACGGATGGTAAAACAATCAACTTGCTCAAGTCGAAATTTAAATGGTAAAGCAAATGTTTTTATATTTCCTCTAAAAAAATGTAACCTTTTAATGAAGTTTTACTTAAACGAATAATTGAAGTCAGTCAGTCTTCTTTTTAAAACGTTTTATATGTTTTCACAAGTCACCATTTTATTACAAATGGTTTATAAATATGAAACATTGATTATATATAAAGTTTTAAGATTTACCTAGTGCTTCATAATATATTACTGACAAACGTTTAGTGTGTGTTTGATATACAATACTACATATATGGTTTTGTATATGATCATGATCATCACTTGAAAAATGATGTTTGATTGTTATCGTCGATACATCACTCTCTCGCAGTACTCGTGTCCCCATCCTCTGCTTCTACAATCTCCGTGGGGTAAATCTGCAGGTTAAAAAATGAGTCTATGAAATTCATTTGACAAAGTTAAGATTCATCAACTCAACGATCTTATAACAAACAAAAAAATAATTTAACCTGGTGGCCTTTGTCTTCGTTAACATTGACGGTACGGACTCTGAACTCGCCTCTGCTCGTGGTTAACTCGTCTAAAATCTCAGCGTCGTACTCTAGAACGTCTCTCATCGAGCCAGTCGACTTCGATCAAAAGAAAGTTAATTCAGCATCAATTTCCAAAACTTTACATATTTAAGAATTAAGACCACTCTAGACGCCTTAAATAACAAGAATAACCAACTTTTAACAAGTTCCGGAGATTAGTCTAAACTTATACTCACCCGGAAAGACAGTCCGGGCGGGTTTCTAGGAGTTCCAGGGATCTCCTCATACTCAGAGGCATCGAGTTCTCGGAGATGAGCCGGTTTAAAGAGCTTAGGGAGAAGGTACCGTCTGATGGCTATTAAGAGGAAAAAAGGAACCGGAAACATGATTCCGGCCACCGGTATCCACGTTATTCCGTAGCATAGCCCCAAGTAGACTATCTGAAACACTGTGAACGCAGCCATTGACTTATACGGTACTTTCTCCACGAAAGACGCGTGAGCTCCTTCCAAGACCCTTGCAAACAACCAAAACAATCACCTGATCAGTCTTTGAAGGAAATCTTGAAACAAAAAAAAAACAGAGCATTTTCATAGTACATACTTGAATCTCCGGTTTTGCGGGACGAAGAGAAGCATTGTTCGTTCGAAAAATTGGTTTCCCGGGAGGCTATCGATAGCCATGTAAGCGAAATATCCCCATAGAAGAGAAGTTGGTATGAGCTTAATGGCTGGTATAGCAAACACTGCACCTCCCACTAGTAGTGACTGCAATAAGTTGCTTACTCTTTGCTCGTTGACTCGAACGGGCAAGTAAGCATCAAGATGCTTCTCTGGATCGAAACTACTCTCCTCATTGCTATCGCCTTGGTCGTCACTCTTCTTCATCACTGCCTCTTTCAAATCTTGCAGCTCAATCAACAATGTAGGGTTTGTCTCAACCTGTAGATGTGAATAAGAGCTTATGATTTTGAATCGTCGTCAGTTATTTTTACCGGAACCGTTTAATGAGTCTCTACTTACAAGTTGGTTTTTGTCCATTTCTATGAAGACTTGTTGCATATTCTCGTACATTTGGGAGGAAGTTGCTCTCTGTTTGATGCTTTCTTTGGCTCTCATCACCATCTTCCTCCGGATTAACTGAACATAAACCACCAAAATCAAATAGACAAGCTTATTATTAACTGAATATTCTTGTTGTATCGTT